CACTTGAACACAACAGGATCTCTGCACAACTCAAGAGGGAAAGAACAAGGGTGTGTCTGGGAAGTTAACAAGAAGAAAAGTATCAAGATAAATACACCCAACAGGGGACCTGTAACTCCTGATCAGGGGCAAGACATATGATTATCACAGTAGGAAATTTTACATCATTAAATAAATTGGTTTTATAAAACAAAAAAATCCATCTTCTCCATAATCCACTTGGGAGATAGAACACATTTGTGAAGGGCTGACTGTAATAATGGCCCCAATTTTTCATGGTTCCCTGTATCTGTGTCCCCACCCCTTGAATAGGGAAGGGCCAACAGAAAGCAGGAAGTGATAATATGACAGTAGCAAGCCCAGGCATCCAAGAGATTGTGCCTTTCAGCTCTTCCTCTAGGAACTCTGCTGAGCCGCCACGAGAACAAGCCTGGACTACCTGGCTAGAGGATGAGACCACTTGGAGCACAGCTGAGGCCCCAGACATGTGAAAGAGTCCAGCCAAGTTCAGCCAACTGACCTGCAGCTGACCACAGATACATGACAGAACTCAGCAAAGTCCAGAAGAACTGGCTGGTCAACCCACAGACTCACAAACAAAAATAAATGGTCATTATTCAAAGCCACTAAGTTCTGGGGTGATCTGTTACACACACAAAAATAACTGACAACGTCCTTTGAGGAACCTTGGCTCTAGACCAAATAACTTTTGTTAGGATTTTGCTTCTCTTCAAAAGTCATGTGAGTCACACTCCTATTTCATGAAAAAGGTGCCTTCATCTGAAGTGTAAACTTACCATCACTCTTCCCATCTTGTTGGGGGTATGAGTTGTAGAACATTCCCTTCCCATCATGGGTCCAGGCCATACAGCTGAACTTGACTCTTTCAAGCACATCTGGAAGCTCTTTGGCACCATCGACTTTCATGAACTTGATTGTCACCCAGTCTGAACCACTGGCACTCAGACCATAGGCAAAATATTCACCATCTTCGCTGAATGCATAGCCTATGGAACACAGAAGGAGTCATCAAACCGTGAACATGGAGACACGACTCCTCGCCCTGCTCCCTGCCCTCTGACTACTGTCTGACAAAGCTCCCTGTCATAAATGGAGGCAGGAGGTAGTGGTGAGGAACGCTGGAGACTGAGCCTAGCTCTTCCAGAAATTTGCCTTATGATCTTGGACAAGTCTTAGTTTCTTCAACCGTAAAATGAAGTATTGGATTATATGACCACTAAGGTGCTTCCATTTTTAACTTCTATAATTCAATAGGCAGTTCAGTTAAAAGCAGACTCATCTTGGACTTTCAGCATATTTTATTTATACTCTAAAGGGAATGGGGCGGGGGGAAGGAGTAAGGAAACTGCTTTTAGAGTAATGACTAAATTATGACACATATCATGTAACAGAACTAAATTGGAGCCATTAGGCAATTTTTGGAATGGATTCCAAACTATTTGATATCACTCTTTACAACCTCATTTTCTGAGCATTGCTGGCACTCAAGGATTAATAGCCACACCATCTAACCACCACCAAGCCCAGGTAAATAAAACTGTGGATTTGCAATGACGATCTCACCCAGTGCACATTCCAAAAGTGACCATGAAAAAGAAAGAAAAAGAACATTATCTATGGACTATTCTGCCATGTCCAGTTCTTTAGGGGCATGACAGACAGAATGCTGTAATCACTATGGAATGTTTCCTGACAAACATTTACATGTTTATAGTGACTTTAATAATTATTATATGAAGTATATACAGCATTTGGTACCAGACACTAACACCAGAGATTTCCTCTTGTTTGCTAAACTTTACTGGGGGTTGAAAATTATCCTAAGAAACCCAACTATTTTCAGAGGTTTTCTACTATTTTACATGACACTTCTACAAATGGGAATATGTTTAAAATTTCAAAAAGCCTACTTATCAATTAAGTAGAAGGTGATGGGGAGAAAATGCTCACTTTTCATTGTATGTAACACTGGCATTTGAATTATTTATGCAATTAGAAATTTTTCAGGAAAAATTTAAATAAAACATTTTGATTTGAAGTATGTTTTAAAAATCTCTATACTATCAAAAAAAATCTGATTGTTTACTCATAGTGTAACTTCCCTATAAAGCCATTTCAGAATACACAAAGACTGAAGCCAGGTCCCATGTCTCATTTTCCTTTCATCCATCAGGGCCTGTNAAATGGAAAAGTTAGATATAAATCTAACAAAATATGCACAAGATCTATTGGGTTGTCGGAAAAGCCATGATGCATTGTTGCAACAAAAAAACAGAAAAAATACATCATGACTTTTCTGACAACCCAATATATGAGGAAAACTGTAAAACTCTGATGAAAGAGATCAAAGAAGAACTAAATAAATGGAGAGATTTTCCATGTTCACAGACAGGAAGATTCAATATTGTCAAGCTGCAGTTCTTCCCAACTTGATATATAGATTTAATGCAATCCCAGTCAAAATCCCAGTAAGCTACTTTGTGGATACTGACAAATTGATTCTAAATTTATGTAGCGAGGCAAAAATCCCAAAATAGCTAACACAATATTGAAGGAAGAGAACATAACTGGAGGACTGATAACCACTTGACTTCATGATTTACTGTAAGTAATCAAGACATTGGTGGTATTGGCCAAAACAACAACAAAAATCCAGACAAACAGATCAATATAACAGAGTAGAAGGCCCAGAAATAGACCCACATAAAAACAGTCAACTGACCTTTGATAAAGGAGCCAAGCAAGGCTAGACAACAGAAAAAATATCCTTTTTTCAACAGTGATGGAACAACTGGACATCCACATGCAAAACAATTCAGACACAGTCCTTACACACTTCACAAAACTAACTCAAAATAGACTTAATTGTAAATGCAAAACTATAAAACTCCTAGGAGATAACAGGAGAAAACCTAGATGTCCTTGGGTTTAATGGTGACTTTTTAGATACACCACCAAAGGCACAATTCACTAAAGAAAGACTTGATAAGCTTAACTTCATTAAAATTCAAACCTGCTCTGTGAAAGATACTGTCAAGAGAATGAAAAGGCAGCCACCGACTGGGAGAAAATATTTGCAAAAGACATCTGATAAAGGACTGTTATCCAAAATATACAGAGAACTCTTAAAACTCAACAAAAAGTAAATAAACCAGTTAAAAAATGAGCAAAGACCTCAAGAGGCACCGCATCAAGAAAGATATATAGTACAAATGATAAATAAGCATATGAAAATATGCTCCACATCATACGTCATCAAAGAAATGCACATTAAAACAATGAGACACCACTACACACCTATTACCTATCAGAATGGCCGAAATCCAGAACACTGATAACATCAAATGCAGATGAGGATGTGAAGCAACAGGAACGCCCATTCATTGCTGGAGGGAATGCAAAATGGCAGAGCCACTTTGGAAGACCATTTGGTGGTTTCTTACAAAACTAAACATATTCTTACCACACAATCCAGTAATCACACTCCTTGGTATTTACCCAAAGGAGCTGAAAACTTATTTATGTGCATGCAAAAACCTGCACACAAATGTTTATAGCAGCTTTATTTATAATTGCCAAAACTTGGAAACAACCAAGATGTCCTTTAGTAGGTGAATAGATAGACTGTGGTNCATGACCTCTTTCCTTCTGACCACAGAGATGGGTACATGGGGGTTAAGAAGATTCAGGCTGTGGGGCCTCACATACCCAGCAGGCGGTCCAGCCATGGACGTGCAAAGTCATCACCCATGCAGGTGCTCTAGTTAGTGCATGCAATGGGATGGTTGTGGTAAAGATTATATTATGCAAGTTTTGTAGAATGAACATCTACTGAATGAATGGTAGAAGGATCACCCGAACTATTTAAATCTGCTTTTCTTTTCAGTTGCCTAGTTAGAATTGAATATATATTTGTTAATTGCATATATGATATACCTCCACTGTATTTTTAAAAACTGGCTGCTCCTAGCAGTGTTATTTATAATACTATAGAAACACCTCAAATGTCCATCAACAAAACATGGATAAACAAAATGTGGTATATACATATGATGAAATATTACTCAACTTTAAAAAATGTTATGACATGGACAAACCTTAAAGACATTATGCTAAGTGACATAGCCACTCATGAAAGGACAAATCCCACATAACATTTATATGAAGTATCTAGAGTAGTAAAATACACTGAGACAGAAAGTAGAATGGTGGTTACCAAGGACTGGAGAGGAGAGGGGGTGGGGTGGGGAGTTATTGCTTAATGGGAACAGTTTCAGTTTTGTAAGATGAAAAAAGTTCCGGAGATGAACAGTGGTGATGGCTGCACAATAATGTAAATGTACTTAATGCCACTCTACATCTAAAATGATTAAACTGGAAAATTTTATGTTACATATATATTACCACGATTTAAAAAATACATATTAAAAAAAACACAAAAAAACTAGTTGCTTCAACCAAGTGCTAATCAAGAGATCCAAGCAATCGTTAAGCTGTTTTCTTTTAAAGCAATATGCTTAAATATACAGATATTCTGGCATTTATTTTTCAGTACTCCTGTTATTGTATCAACCACATAATTTTACTTTGATTAAAATAGGTCTGCTGACCAATGAAATTATTATCTATGAAGCAAAAAATTTCTCCAGGAGAGCATGTTTTTGATTCTATGAAGAATCCAGAGGAAATAAAATTTGATTACTAAAATACGTTATTTTAGGTTTTCCCCATCAATAACCTGCCCCCCCCCCAAAAAA